AACTGATGCCATAACATATGTTACGACTGGTTAAGAACCTTAAACAAGATATGTTTTCCCTAAGCAATCCTTTAATTGATAAACGTTTTGTTACAGGCAGGCACCCCAAGAGAGTAGTTTTAAAGGCGATTTAGTAATTTGGACATGTCGTGGTTTTTTCTCAGTTATAGTCAAATTTATTTTTCTGTTTCAACAATGTTAAATGTCAGTGACACTAAGTTCCAATACCCCCCTCCCTGATCCCATGAGGTCAAGCATGCACCCTTTTAAAGAATGTAAGAGGTCTATCGATATCTTGGATGGCATATCTTTCGTTGTTGATGGTGATAGAATTCAAGCTCAGAAATTTTTCTTTAGCGGCAGGAGATTTAAAAGTAACCACAACTTCATCGTTCATTTTTCGCTGTAGGCACTGAATTTCGGCCGTGTCAACGTTTGCAGAGTTAAGAGCATCAAACACAGAACGAGCAGATGTAAAACGTGAAGGTGTGAAGAGAGCAGATCGAGGGCGTTTCGGCATATCATTAGCAATAGAACGACGCCACGGTTGCGGGGCGTTGCCAGCTGAACCAGCCGTTCTCGCCGCTCTAGAAGCGTAAGTTTCACCATCTGCAACGGCACTATTACGAGCTCCAGCATCTAAATTATCTGGTTGAAGCACAGAATCGGCGCGAGATACGTTATTTACTTCAACTTCAACATTCGCTTTAACAGATGAAGCGTCAACAGAAGGAACGCCAACAGCATTTTCACCAGGGACAGCATCAACAGTACGCACATCATTAGTGGATTCACCAGGGACATCAGCATTAACAATAACATCATCAGGAATTTGCATATTCGAAACACCAGAATTCAACATACCACAATCCGTCGTGGTCTTAGGGACCGTTCATTTTTTATAAGGTAGGGGGGGCTGGTGGGATTTGGGGGGGNATTTTTAAATGGTGCTTCCCAAATCCCACCAGCCCCCCCTCCCTCATAAAAAATGAACGGTCCCTTAGACTGGAAATGTGCCGAACGGATGGGATGCGTATAAACGAGTTTTTACATTGCCAGACCCTGATAAAGGCCTGTAGTTCACTGATCAATCAATTCATAGCAAATAAAAATGCATCATGCAAAAATTAATTAGCTAAACGGAAGGAAGGCTAAGGTTCAACACTAGACAGAGAGTATTAGATCGAGGGAACTACTCTTACCCAAACTACTCGGCGCTTAATCACTCGCCAACTGCCCATTAAACCCCAAAACAACTGCTACTTGATATTGTATTTTGCTTTCGTTCAGTGAGTGGATTATGAACATGCCATTTTACTGTGGACGTTTTGATGTAAATTCTGTGCAGCAACGTACGGTCTAATTCAATGTCAAAAAAGAATATAACTTTACTAAACAATTCTCATGCAATACCCTCCCTTTTTATAAGAATATTGTTTCTCCTGCCCAGGCTGAATTTTCTTATCTTGCCGCCGATTAAAGATTCTTGTGAATATTCTCAGATTATAGACATAGTAGCGTATGGCATTCCTGTTTTCGAATAAATTTGGCCGCTGCCGTGGTGTTAAAGTAATTTTAGAGCCAGCCTGCATCGAACATACGGCTAGTGTTGTTTTTGTTGCTTTTTGGCCAGTTTTGCAGTTTAGAGAAAGGAAGAATCTTATATCGTTTAGTTAAAAACACACAAAATTACATTCTTTTCTAAAATCTCCTCCACGGGTTTATTCCGTAAAACATTCTTACAAGTTCGCAAATTTTAGCCTCGGTATTTATATAAAACATATATTCTTATAAAAAAGAAAGAATGTATTCTTAGCCATAACGGCATCGTGATCTAAGTTCAGTCTCTTTGTTTGTAATTAACGAACCACCCTTTGAAGATCTGGTTTTGGAGTATCATTTTGGTCCAGATTCTAGTTACGGCCTGCAGACTGGATTAATGAGTGACTCACGCTTCAGTAGCAGTTTTGTGCTAAACAGGAAATTTTGTGGCGCCTTATGGAAGACTTCGAAACAGAACAAGCGAAAGGTGACAATTGCGTAACATACCGTATAGTCTAAGTTAAGGTTTTTTAAACAATTTGAGGTAAAAACTAACGGTAAAAGCGCGCGACATTTCGACCGAACTTCGGTCATTATCACGCTTAAATGTGAAGATAAAAATTTTTGCATAAGTATAAATGTAAAACAAAGAAGTAAAAGTATGTAAAGTATGAAAATGTAAAAAAGGGTGTTAAGAACAATAAAAGGCATGCAAGAATAACATAATTAAAGTGATTAAAAACTTTCGCACGAATTGAGTCTGACTGTACATTCAGACTTGGTCTCAGTTCATTAATAAAAAACACTTCATAAATGAGACAGTCAAACTTGTTCTTGCACTATTTTAAGGCGGTAAAATTCTTGGTAAGATCCTTGAGCATATAAGAATGTTTCACACAAAAATGTTTTCCAAAGGAGGAAGACGCATTCTTGTGCTCGTCTACGCGTTGATGCAAATGCCGCCGCGCGTAACCAACATAGCCTGCACCACACAGGCCGTTTAAATTGGTAAATTAGAGATTGTTGGTTAACAATAGCCGGTTTGACCTCGCGCGGTTTCAGATGTTGTTTGATCTTCTGACTAAACAAACGTGGGCTGGACGGTCACTTGAATTTTCTGGCTCAAATCTTTGAGTCGTGCTCGTACAATATTGGCTGAAGCCTGGTCTTTAAATGGCAGAACAACGCGAACAGGATCTAATTCATTGTTAACAGCTGGTAACTCGGGAGCAAGTTGATCAGAAGCTTTGACAGCAATAAAGCGTGAGATGGTGGAATTAATTAACCTGTCTGGGTAACTCAGTCAAGAAAACACCATTTTGAGCAGATCACAGTCCTCGGAAAAGTAGGACCAGCTGGAAGAGAGGCGGAAGGCACGATCAAGCATAGTTATTTAGTAAGCCGCTCTTGTAGCGATCATCAACATGGCTCTTGCAATGCAGCAGAAGGCCAGTGTTGGTAGGTTTGACGTATGTTTTGGTTTGGATTTTTTTACATTTGTTCAGGAGCTGTTTGCCAAGAAACGGAAGCATTCCATTATTCTCCATCTGCATAGTGAACTTAACCGAAGAGTGGCAGTGGTTAAGAGTCTCGAGAAAGTTATTAGATGATGATTTATCTGGCATAATAGTTAACGTGTCATCCACATATCTCTTGTAGTATGTGGGCATCTTGCCTTCGCGCACGAGAGTTTTAGAGAGGGTTCGGTGGAATACGCGGAGTGCGGAGTGTGGAAAATGAGGAGTGTAGAAAATGTGGAGTGTGGAGAATGCGGAGTGTGGAAAGCGCGGAGTGTGGAAAGTGCGGAGTGTGAAAACAAAAGATTATGACAGGCCTACACGGACTCCCCTCGTGAATTGCGATCGCATCGCTATCGCAATTCACGAGGGGAGTCCGTGTAGGCCTGTCATAATCTTTTGTTTAC